AGAAAATATGAGATGCAGAAAATAAAAGGTTCTTAAATCCCAGAATAGAAGACATAGTTTCGGTTGCTGCAATCTGAAACTAATCGCTTTTATTAGATCATTAGCGTTTCATGATTTGGGGATATATTTGTATACCATACAACTGTTGGGCTATTTTATTGCAATGATGACGCCTCAAGGGATTTTGAAAAGCAACATATGTATTTTGGAATGGGTATAGTCTTGGGGCTACTGTATGTACTAAATTAAATGGCTTCCTAATATACGAGATTCTATCCCTGTTTTATTGTTATAATAATCTTTTTGAAAAGATATACTGAAACTTTAAGAGTGAGACGTAAAAAAAGGCAAGCATTGAAGAAAAGTAAACACAGGAGGCAGGGAGTTTATGTGAGGGCCGAAGAGCAGGTCCTGTTCATCTTTCCACCGCAGCGTCCCCGCGTTTTCTCTACCCGTTTGTGTAACAAATACGAACTGAGGGCCTGCTACGCAGCCAGGTTCTGGAGCTGTTCAACGAAGAAAACTGATAGAAACCTTTGCCCTCGCGGAGCTTATGTTCTTGTGGCGTGGAGGGTGGGGACAGGGGCAGGGCCACGCACAATGGTCATGCAAAGTGCAGCCCGGGAGGAGCGGGTCAGCGGCTCAGGAGAAAGGGATGCGGGTGTGGGGCAGAGGGGGCGGGCGGGGCTGCAGCTCTAAATGGGTGGACGCCTAATGGGCACTAAGGTGTATATGCCCATCTCTCTGGGAACTTTGAACTCTTTCTTTGGTCAGTAACAGGACCATCCTTCTGGGCATTGAAGCAGCTCATTGGCCTTGAAGCCACGACAGGAGCCTAAGAAGAACTAAGACGAGGTTGCTCACGTAACAGCGCCCGCGGGGGGCAGTGGGCCTGCGGGGAGAGCCGGGCAAATAGATGCCAGCTTACAGACCCCACTGTGCCCTCGGTCCTTAGCCGGGCCGCCAGGCTCTCTGTGGAGTGCAGCGGACCCCCTGCCACCGTGGGAAGTGGTTGGCTTGTTTTAAAACGCCCTTGGCCTCCTAGAATGCAGAGGACACAAGCCCCGGCCTTGAGAAATAAAGAAAACCTCATAGTTTAACCTTTGATCCAGCAGAGGTCAGCCCGGCCCCAGTCCGGCCCGCTGCCCCCCGCGTCGGGGCGCCAGAGCGGCCCTGGGGCCGCGCCCCCCACACGTGCCCAGCACGCACCCCTCGCCGGCCGGGTTGCCCGTCCTGTCCACGGGGACGGGATTTCATGCCCCTTCTCCTGCAGAACCTGCTACGGGAAAGCAGGTATTTGCTTTTTATTTTCAGAGAAGTTAAACAAACAAGGGCAGCGGGTCAGCACCGCCCAGCCCGCACCCTAAAGCCCTCGGAGGGAATCCAGGAAGCCCTCCTCCGGCTGGCCTCAGGCCCGGGGGCTTTCTCGTTGCAGCCGGCCGGCCAGTGCGGTCCCTGACTCTCGGCCACATCTGCAAGGACGGGCGTGCGGACACCTGCGTATTATTCTGGGTCATCTGCAGACATATCTCCCCCCTCCCTGATTATGCGCCGAGGACAGGGCCCCTGAGGCCCAGCTGCCATTCCCCCGGCCGCTGCCCCGGCCGCTCAGAATGACCAGACCCCGTCTTTGAGAGCGCGGTGTGGAGAGGCGCTGGTGTTTCCCTGAAGCCCCCCGGGCTTTACCGGTGGCGCTCAGCCAGTGCCCTTGACTCTCCCGCCGGGCCTTTGCTGGAGCCGAGCCGGGCCTGCGTGCAAACATCGCCGGGAGGGGGCAAACCGGACCGTCCTGGGCGTGCCTGCCCTTTGAAGGGCCTGCCAATCGGACCATTGTCATGCCCGCTGGAGGAGTCCTTTGTTTTACAACGGGAGGGCCGGAGAGCCAGCCGGTAGGCCTCGGGGCCCTGGGGCGAAGCTGACCCTTTGAACTAGGAAGGATCTTTTAAGATAAGCAGGCCTTGGCGTTTGTACCCCACACTGATTGTTAGAGCGCTTAACAGGGCAGGTTAAGGTGGTCGCTAGGCATGGAAATAAAGGTCTTTCAAGCTCTGTAATAACAGGGTTGTAGGACACGGGCTCCTTTTTTACAAAAATGCAAACTCTCCAATTGCCCATCTCAATGAAGATTTGGGGGAAAGTGGTACCCATTTGGGGGGGTTCATTTGTTTACATAAGAAAAGATCATTTATACCAGGAATAAAATACAAATGAAACCCAATGAAAGACCTTTTCAACAAAATGTTATGCTTTCCCACTGAAAAATAAGCTTGATTATCTTTCAGACTAAACGGCGTGAATTATTTCTTAGGAAAGGTCACTGGGAAAACAGGAAGGAGAAAAACAGAATAAATGGTAGTCATTTTTTAATTGATATTTTAATACACAGTGTTCCCCACCTTGGAAATCCTCATAACGAATCGCATCCATCATTCTGCCCCTCGGCACCTCCAAAAACCTGGGTGCGTCCCTTTGCTACGTGACAGGTGCAGGACCGAGCAGGGCTTCTGCTCCATCCCTCAAGCCTCGCCGCCCCGTGGGGACCACAGATAGCAAACAGATCATTAAAGAGTGCACAGAATACGGCAGGAAACTGCCAGGTGCTATAGCCACATTTGTTTTAAGTCCTTTAGAACTTTGTTCTGGGGGTGTGCTTCAAAGGAAGAATTTCATTTTCCTTTTCCAGCGGTTCTTTGAGAGTTTCTGTGTTTTATGGTCGTTTCCCTCCCAGCTTTCCCTTCACGTAGCCTCTTTAGAAGGTTTCCCAGAATAGAAACTTGCATTTCATACTGAGGAGCTACAGGTGAGAGAGAGAGCGGAGGGGAGATGCCTGGGAGTGCTCACTGTCAAGTGTTCTGCTGTCTGTACCCAAAACAAACCAATGGTTGGCGTGGCTGCTCAGACTTCCAGGCCCACCACTGTCCACAGAGGCAGGCCACTGCTGGCAGGCTGAGCGCTCAGAGGGCATCTGCGATGTTGTTTCTCCGTCAGGGTGGGGCACCAACTTCTACAGCAGCCCTCTGGTTACGGTACCCCCCAGACATGACTGACCTCCATCTTAGGTTCTAGACTAAAGAAATCAGAGAATTACAGGCTTCCACAGACAAAAGGCCTCAGAAATCATCTACCACCTCTCTGCCCACTGGTGTTTGAAGCAAGGGAATTCTGAGGTATTTTCCACCTTTCACCTAAAGCAATTTCTCTCCATATTTTTCTTCCTTTAAACAAACAAATAATAAAGCTATTTACAGTAGCTCTCTAAATAATAAGCAAATGAAATTGTAAAGAATAAAGCTATTTATGCAATAATGGTTTATCAATGAGTTCTGTTGATGAAGTTTACATTTCTAATTCGGTTTATGTTAGATACCCCTGTGTATAAAGCTGTTGAGCCCAGACCAATAAAGGTGCCCTGACAACCACAGCAGTGATTTGCAGATTTATCACCACTTGCCTTTTTTTCCCCCCAAAACAGTAGCGCATTTGTGAGAATTACATTACACATAATGTGCAGGCATACTTCGATTTTTAAGCCAAATAGTTCAGGCTATTCTAACAGGAAAGGGTGTTGTGCTAAGATTATTGCCATATAATCAAGCTCGTAGCACCCCTTGAGCAGTAAGAGTAAGAAGGATCCTTTCAAAAACCCTTCATTAAGGGCCAACATCCCACCCCTGCCCCTTCTGCTGTCTCCCTGCCTCCTCAGAGCCACATTCTCCATACTTTTGTGATTACAGAGGACAATTATAACGATTTTTTAAATGTAAAAGCAGGTTCTCAATATATTTTCATTTTCATTTATTTATACAGTTAACTTCAATAAAACTCAAAAGTGACAAACTGATGAATTAATTCAAATGAGATTGAAGTAATTGCATTTCATATCCTGATAAAAAAAATCACACAGGCCCAGGAGTCATAACCCTATCCTACTGTGTATCTTCAGATACGCATTTACCTTGTTCTCTGGCTAACGGGGAGAAGTCAGTATTGTCAACAGCGTGATTCAAGCTGATGGCAAGCGTGCATATCACCTCCCACAGGCCTGGCCAGTCGTCTTCTGGTTCTCTGCATCAAGTCAACGTGGATGAGCAGGTGCTGGTAATGTCCACCAGTGTCACCCGGGCTCTGCCACCTGCTCAGCACTGCACAGCCGCAGTGACAGTGGGGCGGGGACAAGGTCAGGTCCTCCAGAGGAATTCTTCCTAATGGTGATGCAAGAACAGCTCAGGAACAGTTCCTCTGTGCAAGAAAACTCTCGACTGAGCAAGAGAACAACTGCAGAGACGGTGCAAGAAGCAAGGGAGAGTGAGAGAACGGTTGTGAACAGACCGAAGGGATTGTGGGTGTCACTTTGGGGCCCACAGCAAGCTGTGGGGTAGGCGAAACCTTTTCCGTCCGCTGTGAATTCCAGCTCCGTCCCAGTGAACTGGACTTTGCTTACTTCAGGAGGGTCCCAACGCCTTCCCAGCTCATGTCCGTAAGGGTCGTGCTTTATTGCTTTTCTGCTGTCTACACAACGTGATCTGCTTAGAATTTTCAGTCAATATGCCCTGTCCCCGCAAATGACCCATGATCTGCCTGCAATGTGTCCATGTGCTGGGACGCTAATGAGCGCTCAGGACCCGGGGAGACAGCCCGGGCCAGCAGGGCAGCCCTTGATTTGTATCAGTGGGGCAGCTGTGGCCTCAGAAGCTTCGTGGAAGTGGAATGTACACATGAGAAATGTGTTGGAATTGCAGAGACGATGCATAATTAAAGTTCAGTGTTGCATGTCCCCAAAACAATGTGTGTAAATGTGAAATGTGAAATGGCTTTAAATTTTCACCCCATGTTTTTTTAACCTGTTCTATAAATGATCATGAGAAATCATAGTTTCCAAAGGTTTTGTGGATTTAACCCAGCGCCCCAGGCCACACTGAAAGAATAGTTTCGCCTAACACATGAGAAAAACACCCTAACTCAAGTGGGCCAAATCCCTAACATGACTTTTATCCTTTCAGAACATCTTTCAGAAGAGATCTGAGATTCTCTCATCAGCACGACTGCTTCACAGCAACATTGAAGACCTTGGTGTGCCCAGGTAGGATTTTGCATTAACTAATTACTCAGTGGATATTAAGTAGAACCTCTTTCCCATTTCACAAATATGCCATTGTCTTAGGACAGCTGGCAACTAAAGTGAATGGTGTCTGTAGGCCACTAGCTCCTCAACCCGGTTACAAATTGCAGTTACCTAGAGAGACAGTATGAAATGCCAATTGCTGGGCCCTAACTCAGACTCACTGAATCAAAATTTATGGGCATTTGGTCTGGGCGTCTGTATATTTCAGGGCCTTCTGGGTGACTGCCAGCCAGCCCAGCACCATTACCATTCCTAGACCACCCTCATTCCCACCCGTCTAATAGCAAATCTTCTTGTCCCGTTCTACAGGTGGGTTTTAAAAATCCATTTAGTAGACATTTCTGGAGTGTCTTTTGCAGAACAAAACAATGCCACCTTTTCTGCCACTTACTGTCCTGCAGCCCACAAGACATGCACCCCCGAGTCCAGGTCTCCTGTCTCCATGGCTGCATGGTCGAGGGGCAGGGCCTTGGCGGACGTGCTGGGTTCTAACCCTCGAGCTGGGAGGTGGCTAACCTCACAGGATGAGGAGCCCCAGAGGGCTGTCTGCGAGGAGGGGGCGTGAGGTGTCACCTAGAAAGAGGCAGAGACAGGTGGCAGAGGCAGGCTACTGTCCGGACTTCTGAGGGTTTCCATTTCCCAGCCACAGTCATTTTCCGAAGCCAGCGACGTCCCTGCCATGTGGCCTGAGACACTGCTACACCTTCCAGGAAATGATCACTCCCCACCACTTTTTGCCTTAAATTAGTTGGTTTCTGTTACTTGCAACCACAGAGGCCTAACTAAGGCTCACCTCCTTCAGCATTGTATCACCATGACTTCCTATAATGCCCCCTGTGCCCGGATGCCACCCAGGGGGAGCAGTAACCAGTGGCAGAGTGACCCTCATTCCAGTCGGATTTTCTGCCCACTTACTGTGTTTTTCTTGGAGGCATGTAGCCTTTTGTTCCCCACAGGAATAATCTCCCTTAAGACTCTTGAATTTAAGCAATTCTCCTGTCCTCTGCCCGCCCAATTTCCCTGATCACCAAATTTCCTTTCCCAACACCCCTCCCAGGACTCCTGCCCAGGAGAGCCTCCTGTGCATGGACCTGGCTCTGCCTTCTGGAATCTTCGTCCCGCTTTACCACCCACTGCTCTCAAATACCCACCTACTGTATGACACAGGCTTCACCCAGGACCCCACTTTTCTTCACGTCTTGTTTCCCTTTGTAAAAAGCCATCAGCAGAATTGATTCTCGTTTAGAATGTCTAAAGTACATGTATGATATTTGAGAGGAAGAGGATTTTTGCTTTTTGCCACAGACTCAGAATTTAAACTAGATGTTTCTCTCAAACCTCTTTTCCCCAAGAACCCCCTTTTGAATTATACGCAGCCTGATGATGGGAGGCCCACAGGGAGGGACTGGTGGGAACCTCCGACTTGATCTAGACCTCATCCCTTTACTGAGCCAGCTGAGTCAGGGCTTGAGGAAGGAGGGGTGGGTGGGCCAGAGGTTCCCACAGCTGAGAATCCCCCGGCAGCTGGGACTATTCCATGTGCATTGATTTCGGGCATTCCCATTTCCTGTGTATATAGGACCCAGAAGAAAAACTAGCGTGCATAATTCATTCCTGTTTACTTATTTTTGGTTGTATTGTGCTTTCCTCAGAACAGACATTAAAGTCAGTGATTCTTAATTATTTTGCGTGTATGTGTCACACCGAAGATCTCTAAAGAGATCGTCTCTTGTGACCCTCTTGTAAGGCCTGTGCTTCTTTCTCGGTGGTCACTTAGTTAAGGTCTCTATGTGATAGTCTATTTGGGGAAAATTCCCGGGATTTTAGTGTATCTTAATTTCCTTACTACCGGGCACTCCAAAGAATCCACCCCTTGTGTAAAATGAGTGTGAGGGAGGGCTGAGCATGCTCACTCCAGGTGGGAGCAACTAAGCCCAGGACTTTACTAGGCAAGTAACAGGTGTGAGGTGTTGTCAAAAGGCTCCTCTCTTTGACAGCTGAATTGAGCCATAAATTTTTGACTAATCTATGCAGGTCTGTGGAAGCCCAGATAGGGATTATTAATCCGGGGTTCCCAATGCACTAGTGTCTGTTCACAGTGAAATCCTTCAAGTTGATTTTTTATTGTATGCTCTATCTTTGACCTAAGTGAAAATATTCAGATTGCCTCATAAGTCAAAATTAATTTTGTAAACTATTATCCATCGTCTTAACATCTTCTCCTTGCTTTTAAATACAGAGTTTATCATAATCATATGTTTCAGTTTATATTGTAAAATATTACAAGATGGCTAAGATGGGGGTTAAGAACCCTTTAAACCATCTTTAATTTCACTTAACTGCTAAATTTGCATACTCTTCTTATAAACCAGATTTTTCCTCCTCAAAAAAAAAAAAAAAGAAAAAGGAAAACAACATGTGGTTTGTTACATTCCTTGCTCTTGTTAGCCTGTTTTGCATTAGAAGGTTATGGAAACCTAAGAAGGAAAGATCATAAAGAAAACCTTACAATGAAGGAAAGAAACAGAGGAAAAAGACATCTGAATGTTGGCTTTTTCTGCATCTGCCCTAAAAACACATTCCAGGGTGAAATGATGTGCGTCCCTAGGAGTTGGAAGTAGAAAGGAGAGAGAAGCAAATATGTTTTTTAAAAATCATACCTATTAAGTATCTTGGTTAAATAGTCCCTATATTCCTCCTTTAAAAATCATCTAAAACATAAAACCATCTGGAAAAAAAATAAACTGTAACTGTCCATTCATTCCCAGACCATTCGGTAAATAAACTGTCGGTTCCTCCCTTGACTCAAAACAAACACCGCCACCAGGAATGTGTCAGTGACAGTCAGCTGCCATACCCCTTGGCAGGCTTCAGAGACCCCAGCCCACTTTCTCCCAATATATTCTCGCAATGTTAATGGTGACAGTGAATATTTTCCTCACAATGCACAGAAAATTGTTAGTCTTGATAGTACGCTAGTGGCCATTTGAATTCTTTTCCCCCTTACAATTCCACTAGAAATTTAACTTATTATGTAACATCAGCACCAGAATGCCTAGATGTTCCTGTTAGAGGCTGTCAAGGACCCCAAATATTTATGTATGTCATCATCGTGTTTATTCTCCCTTAGGACTCTCTTACTTAGCAATGAGAAACAAAGTGACAGCATTTTTCTGTCATTTTAATTTGCCTGATTGTGCAAAAATAAAAATGCTGCCCTGTTCTCAGAAATGAGCCGTTGCATGTTTGAGAAAGTCATTTTAAAAGTTCTTGGGAGTGAGGCAAACATGACTGCTGCTCGTGCAGGAATGTTCCTTCTTCTTTGATCTGCCGAGTGGTGGTTCCACTTGAGGAGGTTGTCTGACCATATCATTGGATTCTTTCAAAAACACTTTTGACTCTTCAGACCCTAAAACACGGTATGTCATAAAACTATTTTCTAATGACACTCTCAGCCTTCACTAAATTGCTACCCCCTCCCAATACACTTTCCAAACGGCAGAGAGAAGCATTTCAGAGATTCCTGGAATCTTGTTAAAATCTATTGAAAGAGAAGCTAAAAACTTCAGAAATGGCTGATAATGGACATGTGGTTTGCTCTATTGCATAAGCAGCCAGCAGTCTTCAATTGGAGTGAGAGTTATAGCATCTTACTATGCTCATGGACAGTGACTGTAATGGGATATATGGTGAGGACTTGGTGATAGGGGAGAATGTAGTTACCACAGTGTGGCCCATGTGAAACCTGAGCATAAGATGTTAAACCAATGATACCTTAATAAAAATAAAATTAGAATGAGAGTTTGTGTGAAGTAAAGATGTTGGCCCTTAGAAGCAGATTGTCTTTACAAGCCTGGGTGAAGTGTTAAGAGTCCTGATAGACCCTTATTATTTAAGCTCACGGGCAAGAATCTTTTCTTGGGGGACATACTGGCATTTAGAATTGTCCAGAAATGCTGCCAGACTAATGACCAATTCTATTGTCTTCCTTTTTCATTTGCTGCAACTGAAGGACCTTAACTAAAAAAAAAAAGAAAGCATTGTGGTTCTGGCGTTCAGCTGTGATCAGTTTTGTCTGACAAGTCTATTAATGGCTGCGTTACTGCAGCACCTGGGCCTCTGGGCTGTCCTGCGAGATGCCTTCGGGGGGATGGGTTACCCTCAGACTGTAAGCGGGGCCGGGCTCACACTTGCCCTTTGTTCAGCGTCATCTGCCTTTAAGCTGAAGAGGTGGTGACGGGCTGCTGGCCCCCCACCTAAGAATGACGCCCTTCCTAAGCGCCTCGTATGCCCTGGTAATGACTAATCCGCAACAGAGCAACTGTTACATAAATGATCTTCCAATACAGGCCAGTTTTGTTGTACTTGGACAATAAGATGCTTTGGTACCTTGGAAATTAAAATGGTGCAGTGAACTGCTTCACAAAGCTTGGGGTCTTGTTTGTCTTAGGGTCCCCAGGGTTGGGGTGAGGAGGGGGCGGTCGGGTTCCTTTGAGCTGCACGACTCCGCTTCTAGAGGCCGGCAAAGCCAGTGCAGAGCCACCGGGCTGCCGGAGACTGAGTTCCTGCCCCAGTTCCGCCTGAAGTAATGAAGTTCCGCATTAGACACTTACGGAATTATTCTTCCTGCTTTCTGGTGATGATGCCGAGGTTGGGGAAAGCAAACATTTTATTTGCTCTTTGTAAGAAGCTCTGCTTTAAAAGCGAGTAACATAGTGGTTTTAAGACCATAGGCTTTGATGTCAGGTTTTGAACCCAGCACTTGTGTTTATTAGCTGATGACTATTGAGTGGTTGACCAATTTACCTTATTTGTCTTGTTTGTAAACTAAGGAATGTAAGACATAAAAACATAAACCAAACTATGTTTTCTACCTTTATCTTGCATCTACCTACCACTTCAGCATTTTATTAAAAAAAATAAAAATAAAAAATAAAAAAACATAAACCATCTGGAAA